CAGAAATCCGGCCCTGCCCATTGTGCCGGGCGCTGCCCAGAGCCGACTGAGATCAGGGCCCCGTTGCGCTCGGTACTGCACAGACACACAGTGAGCCATGGCAATAGGCAATAGGCAGAGGGAGGATGGGGAAACTGAGGCACAGTGAGGGGTAATGACTTACCCAAGGTCACCCAGTGCGTCCATGCAATGGACAAACCCACTTGGAAAGGGGAAGCACCGAGGGGGGATGGGGCGAAAAGACAACACAGGCTGCTGTTGATCTGCTTTTCACTCAGGTATCGGCCCAGATCCGCCGCCTCCTGCTGGTGTTTATTTATAGCCTGTTGCTCTGAGTCATTAACCACACGCGGGTGCAAAGAACCAGATGATAAAGGACCCAGGGCCGAGTGCCCGAGGTGATGTGAAAGGGGAAGCACAGAGGGCTGTGGAACCCCATTGTGCTTTCCTAGGAAGGGAGCTAGAAAGGGGGCGCGGCTTTGAAATTCAGCTCCGGTCGATCTCCCCCGGGGAGACTCCATGGAGGACGAGGGAGCTGGGGAGGTGACGGCATCACAGTTCCCGGGGAGCGAAGGCCGAGCCATTAATTCAGAGATTCTCAGGCCAGGAAGGGAGCAGGCTGATCCGGCCTCTCACACTGCATGGGCCAGAGAATGACCCAGGGATTCCTGCATCCAGCCCATAGCTGGGGATGGAGCTAGCGCAGAGCTTGAGAGAGGACAGCCCGTCTGTTCGACTCCACGTGCCGCGTCCCAGGGCAGTCGGTCCTGAGGGTGACGTCCCCCTCCCCGTTCAAACACGAGCCTTAGGGCTGGTCCCCACTTAGTCCGGACTTCGGACTAAGGTACGCAAATTCAGCTACGTTAATAACGTAGCTGAATTCGAAGTACCTTAGTCCGGACTTACCGGGGTCCAGACGCGGCCGGAAGTCTCCCCCCGTCGACGCCGTGTACTCCTCTCGGAGAGCTGGAGTACCGGCGCCGATTGTGGGCACTTCCGGGATCGATCCGGGATCGATTTATCGCGTCTTAACCAGACGCGATAAACCGATCCCAGAACATCGATTGCGTGCCTCCGGACCAGCCGGTAAGTGAAGACTAGCCCTTAGTCCTGCCCTGAGAGGGGACGTGTTGGCTATTCGGGCTCTTTAGAACAGGGGCAGCAGCAGGGCCTGTTCCCAGGCAGCCCCAGCCCTGCTGGGACACACCCCACACCAGCCGGGGTGAAGGGCTTTGGCCCCTTGGAGGCCTTTCTTCTGAGATGGTCCATTGGTGCAGGGGCAGAGCTAGGAATAGAACCCAGGAGTCCTGATGCCTTGAACCACTAGACCCTACTCCCCTCCCCTCCAAGTTGGAGATAGAACCCAGGAGTCCTGGGCCCCAGTCCCCGCTCTGACCTCTAGACCCCACTCCCCTCATCCCAGAGCTGGGATGGAACGCAGGAATCCTGATGCTCAACTTGGAAGCAGGGCCAAACTCATTTCATATGATGCCTGGTAGCAATTTCCATGATAGCACCGTGGGCTAGACTGGAGCACAGGGGACCTGATCCCCAAGGCCAGTCCAGCCCCCCAACACCTTCCCCCGCCCCCATCGAACCTTTGTGTCCACAGAGCGGCACTGCACAGCCTCAGCCACTAGGGGGCGCCACAGCCCCACACCAAGGCCCCAGGCCCAGCCTCCATGCTGGGCTGGGTCTGGTCCCTCAATTGTACCCCAGAGGCTGCATAGTGCCTTAGCAGGATAATTACTCACACGCCAGGAACATGCACCGCACACGCTAGTGCTCACATGCACACACACTCTGGTATGCACAAAAACGTACAGATGTGTCCTCATGTTTGTGAACAAGTACAGATGTACATACCGGTGTCGAAAGCCCTAAGCCGTTAGGGGCTGCAGTGGGGCAGGTTGCTAACAAGACTCGCTGAGGTCATCCCAGATACAAGTGCTGAGCACAGAGCCTGTCCCACTAGGGAGCCTGGTCCTGCGGCGGCTGTTGTGAGGGACCCGGTGCTAGTGCCCAGGTATGGGAGAACACCCAGGGGCTGGGGGTTGGTGTGAGGGACCCTGGTCCTAGTGCCCAGGTGTGCGAGGACACTCAGGGGCTGGGGGTTGGTGTGAGGGACCCGGGTACTAGTGCCCAGGTGTGCGAGAACACCCAGGGGCCAGGGATTGGCACGAGGGACCCGGGTGCTAGTGCCCGGGTGTGCAAGGACACCCAGAGGCCAGGCAAGGGGTCAGACTGGTTCAGACTTTGCCCAGGGCTCCAACGAGTGACTGGATCTGGGTCCAGCCACGACATGGTGCCGCTTTTCCTGTGGTTCAGCCAGAGCCACTACACAGGAGAGGTTAGACAGACAGACAGACGGATGGACCAGAGCTGCAAGACAGACAGGTGAGCCAAGCAGGCGGCCTGGTTTCCTAGTGGGCAGAGCTGGGGATTTCCCCCCCCTCCCCGATCCTGGGTGCCCCTGCCAGACATTTCCAGGTCTCCAGCCATTCTCCAGGGAGCCTTGCCCGGCTCTCCACTTAAGGAGCAACAAAATCATTATCGCCATTTCACACGTGGGGAAACTGAGGCCCAGATGAGCAGGCAGGTCACTCAGTAGGAGTGTCAGAGCTGGGGTTACACAGGAGTCCAGACTCCTGGCCCCACCCCGTGCTAACCTGCTAGACCCCATTCCTCTCCAGAGCTGGGGACAGAACCTAGGAGTCCTGACTCCCAGCCCCCTCTGCTCTAACCACTAGGTGTTAGTGTGTGGACAGGGGTTGAGTTAGGGGGAGCTGTGTCTCCTGTTAACTCACTAGGGAAGACAAGCCCTTAGAGCTGGATTGGCCAATGAGATCCAAGCACGGGGGGGGGGGGGTTCTGGGCCGCTGGGGAATTTGGCCCCGAAACCTTTTACAAATCTGCCTCTTGGTGCCTTTGCCGGCACTTTGCATCCTGCCCGTTTCGCATCCCCTCCCTGCCCTCCGGCCCCAGCCTGTTCCTTATTCTGAGGTCTTGTCAGAAACCCAGCCCGCCTGTCAGTCTCCTCAGGGGTTGTGTGGATCTGTCCCTCAGCAACAGCAGAGAGGAAAAAACACCCGTGAACTGGGACATTGCGGTTGTAAAACCAGGACATTTGGCTGGGAGGGTGGGGGAGGTGAAAGGCAGCCTTTGAATTGCACTAGACGGCAGGTGTCCCCGGGAAAGGTTAAGATCTGCATCCGCGCAGCACCAGGCCAGAGCCCAGCTGGGGTCCGTCAGCCATAGCGCAGCCGGGTCAATGGGCCAGGTTCCCAGCTGGGGTCAATCAGCATCGCTCCATTGGAGTCAGTGGGGTCACTTTACATCTGCTGGGGACCTGACCCCATTGTCTCATTTGTAACCCTGGGAACATAGGGAGGAGCCATTCCACTTTAGGGGGCCAGACTCTGATCTCGGCTACACCACAGGGAATCTAGCGTAACGAGTAACATCAGGGCATAATGCTGGCTGGAGTCAGCACAGCCTAGCAGCTCGGCCACAAGACTAGGAGTCAGGACACCTAGGTTCTAGTCCCACCTCTGCCACTGGCTTATTGGGTGACCTTGGGCAAGTCACTTCCCCCCTCTGTGCCTCAGTTTCCTCTCTCACACATTATCAATGTAGATTGCGAGCTCTTCAAGGCAGGGTCTCTCTGTCTTAGGTGTCTGTGCAGCACCCATGACAACAGGGCCTCTGATTTTGGGTGGGGTCTCTGAGTTTCTGTAATCTAAGTAATAAGAGTGTGATAGCCAAACCAGACACTGGTTAGTAGAACAGTGTGAATCCACTGGCATAACTGGAGTGACTCTGGATTTATGTAGGGGGGCAATAAGAAGAGGATCGGGCCAGACTGTTGAAAGCTGGGCTCCCACTGATAACAACGGAGACCTCCCCTGCCCACGCTTTCCTTCCCACCGAGCAGAATGCCGGGCGCTGGACACATGGGCAGAGCTAGGTGCCGGCTGACCAAATCCACCCCGGTCTCGTATTAATACTCAGGCCCCTGAAATAAAGAAGGCAGCTGGAGGTAGAAAATATCCCCGGCTGGGGGCAGAGGAGACGGGGGTCGGGAGCAAGGGCTCCAAGGGAATGGGGCCAAGCGGAGACGCCGGGGGCGGATTGGAGTCAGAGCGGCAGCGTTCTGGGAGCGCTGGCCTGTGCGATTCCCTTCCGGCCCGGCCCCATTAGTCACCAGGAGAAACGTTCACAGCAGGGTCAGTGCCTGGTGCTCAGCGGTTATTGAGACGGGAGCCTTGTGCCCCAGTGACAGCCCTGGGGGGACCAGGAGGGCAGAGCCCCGGCCGCTGGGAGCAGGGTTAGAGCCCACGGGACAGATCGGGCTCTGGGGTAGATTGGGGTA